TCATTTCTCGACGGATCCTTCTCATCTTCGAACTCGACCGAGATATTGTAAAGACTGAACTGTGCAAAAAATTTCATCGCGATCTGACTCTCCTTTCGAAAGTTATCGTGTATACGGACGGCCGGACACACAGATCGATTTTAGTAGTGTACTCACTTTTTGAGTACACAAAAAAAAAAAAAAAAATCTACAAAAATCATAAATACCATTGTTGATATATCAACATTTTGAAGAGATTCAATAGAATTAAATCGATTGTACATAGCAATTTCTTTTGACATTATTTCACTATAGATATATGAATGAATAATAATGATATGAAATAAAGGCTCCTACCGAAATGGTCTCACTATAGTAACTAAATCATTTCTAGTATCAATTAAATTCTAAATAAGATATAATACTTATAAATCATTCTAAATAAATATAAATAATACGAACACATTCCAATGCAACATGTGCACCTTTGCCTTGTGCCATATCGGAAAGAATTTGAGCGGCAAGTTTTGTACAATTATCACCTGTAATTAATTTTGTACATTTTTCACGAATAGCAATATCAAATAATAATTTTAATCTATTTAAATATTATTAAAATAGAATTTATAATTTCTAATAAAATTACAAAAAATATACTTTCGTCTTCGAATAAATTCTTCACGAGCTGTTAATGATTTTGTATGTTGAAATAATAAATCTTTTAAACTATTATCATTATCAAGATTCTAATAAATTTACAAAAAATTTTTTTTTTAAATACTAATAATGTTTTTTATAAATCTTACTTCATCAATAGAGACAATATGTAATGGATAATGTAATTGATTCGTAATAAGATCAATTACTTTTTCACGTATATTTATTGAATCCGCCGGATACAATGAAGATTCTAAAAAAAATTATATTTGACAAAAAAAAAAAAGAATATTTTATTTTTCAATCACCATCAATGAAAGCAACATGTGCTTGAAATTGAAGACGTCGTCGAGCATTTACACTAAGTCCATCAGCAATTAAATGAAGTAAAGCTGTTGATGATGGTCCACCGGAATATGCAATTAGAACATGTTCACCTCGTCCGAATATATTAGATTTTGATAATGTTGAACGAAATTTATGAAGAAAAAATTCTTCAAAACATTTCCTTGAAATACAATTGACAGTTTTCAAATTTTGAAAAAAAAAAAAAGTTTTCTTGAATTTACTAAAGCAAAACAATTATTTCAAAGCTTTCTCTTAGAAGTCTTTGTTTTCATTATCGGTTGATAAAAATTGAGAGTTTATATTATTTCAACTCGTCATAAACGAAAAAGACAAATATCTTTTCAACCAATGTTTTAATTTAGCTTTCTATTTTTTAGATTCAATTACCTTTTTTTAATTGTAACTAATCATAACTGAGTAAGTAAATGTAGGGTTGATTTTCAGCTCTATAGACTACTGATATTTCTGAGCAAAACAATCATCCGAAGCAGAGCCCGAAGACGAACCGAACTCGAACCACTTCTTAAAAAACGACGTTAAACTGAACTGACCTTAACTAATTTTTGAAAAGCGAATAAATATGGACAAGTACATAAGAAAAATGATTAACTGAGCTATAATCTTTTTTGTAAGATTGTGATGCTATATGGGATTATCAAACGATCTTTAATCGAACATTTTACATCAGGGATTGTAGACGATCAATTTACATTTACAAAAATTTATCAAGTGAAGAAATAAATTGTAAAAGATTTCATTTTATTTTGAATTTAAATCGAATTTATATAAAATTCAAAAAAATTCAATAAACTCAAAATAATTTAGATTACATCTAAATATATTTGAAGTATTTTAAGCTCCATTTTAATTAATTTAAGTTTCACTTTGCGTAGTTGTTTATAGAAATCAAAAGAAACCTTTTATCTCTCAGGTCTACTAACAATAGTATCTGTACAAGTTTTTTATTATCGTTAGAAAATAACAGGAACGGAGTACGGCCGTTTTCTTACGGGATCTTCTATAGTGATGATCGGATGTTAACGTATAATATCAGTTTCTCTCTTTATTTCTGATCTATTTTTCTTGAAGTCATGTATTTTGACGATTGGGTTGTTGCA